TAGCCTCGAAAGCGCCGGCCCAGGTGATATCCTCCGCCGCTTCTTAACCGGCGGCTCCAAGCCCACGGACATAACACCCTCCTCCCTCGAATCGTATTCCTCCTCCGCCAGAGAATCCGCCGCAGAAGCTGGCTCGTCCCCATTAAGCTGCCGAAAGATGGCTTCCTCGTCATCGGGCGTCTCCGTACCGCCCTCCACCTCTGTCTCAAGCTCCCGGAACTCCTCCAGCCGCGCCTTTGACGGCGTCGAAAGCGACGGCGCACCCTTCTTCGGCCGGCCAGGCTTCCTCTTCGCATCCCCCTCCACCGGCGTCTCGGCCCTCGCAGCCGCCATCTCCGCCTTCGTCCTGCGCTTCCTCTTGCCCGTGACAACATCCTTCCGCGGCGTATCCTTCACCCCATTCCTCAGCACCAGCATCCCCCTCTCGCGCGCCTCCGCCTCCGCCACGGCACGCACGTTCTCCTCCTCCTCCCTGCGGCGCTCCTCCTCGTCCCGCTCGGCCGCGCGGGCCGCGCACCAGTCCTCGTACGCCGCTGGGGACACATAGTCCGCGACGTGCTCCGCGTCGACCACGAGCCGGGCCGCGGGGAGGTCGCTCCAGCCGACGACGTACTGCAGGCGCTTGTTACCGTCCTGCGAGAGCGGCGGCGGCACGAAGAACTCGTCGCGGATGTAGGCGGTGCTGTCGCGCACGGGGACGAGGGTTATCGGGCGCAGCGGCGGGCCGTTGCCGGGCGTGTAGGGGCGGTACGTTACGATGTCTTTGAAGACGACGGCGAGCTCGACGTGGGAGGACGAAGAAGTGGTGTTTGGCTGGCGGGAGGTCGGAGAGGGCCGGCCGAACCAGACGGTGGTTCGTCGCGACATGGTTGTCACCTTCTTCTGGGAGCGACCATGCGGCAGGGGATTTTTCGAGGGGTTTTCGGGCCTGGTGGCAGGCTTTGGGGAGGAATTTCGTCGTCCGGTCGTCGGAAGGGGTTCGCGGTTTTGGAGTTCGTGTCGTCTCGTGTCGCGACCCCCGAAGAACGCTGCAGGAAAGGAAGATCGCAACAATTCGTCAACGCTGGCAGCTGCGGATGTCAGAAAAAATGTCTCGACGACCTGAGAGGTCGCTGCATTCGACGAGTTTACGTACATGATTTTTGAGGCCGGTTTGCGGCAGGGACGCACCGTTTCGTGTTGAGGTCTGGTTGCTTTGTGAGGTGAGAGAGGGGAGGAAATCTGACGCCTTTAGATCTAAATTTGTCTTTTTCTCAGCACAGGCTGCCACTAAAATTACCGCAGGACTTTTTGCTAGTAAGAAAAGCCTCTAAAACGTATAATATAACTTCAAAAATGAATAAAACTAAGTATTAAAGCTTATAAATAAATAAAAAATATTAAAATTTAAGTTTTTTTTTAACTTTTTTCTACTTATTCTATTTTAAACTTTGATATCTCATCAGTAGGACTTTAATTTCTAAGTAAAAGTATTTAAATAATACTTTAACTTTAATTAAGCTTTATTTGTTAAAGCTAAGCTTTTTAAATATTAAACAACTAATAATTAACTTTCTAACTATTTAAATCATATTATAACTTAATTTTATGCTAGGCTTATATTTCTAATATACTAAACCTATTCCTTATACTTAACTTTTAGCTATAAGCAAAAGTTAGTCATTCCGGCTCTTCTTAATCCCGGGATTCCAGCCCAACGCGCGCCAGCCACAAGGGTCATTCGATCTGGGGAAGCAAGTGCTGCAAAACGGCCCGTGCATTAGCTGCGGCTGGGCTGCTGCTGTGAGAGGCGCTCGAAGTGGGCGTCAAATCTTTGTGGACCGAGCTTGACCTCATCGCAAGCTCCATCCATCCAGCAGCTTCGTCACTTTTCTTTCCGAAAGGAAAAGACCAACCGGGAGAAAAAATCTCCACTCCACCCAACTCAATTCCTCGGATCACTACGAAACACACAGAGACGCAAGCACACGTACAGGATGCTCACTCCCACGAGCACTTTCGCTCTCCGCCTGGCCGGCCAGGGCGCCGCCCGCGCCTCCATCGCCCGCACTATCGCATGCCCGTACTCGACGACCTCAAAGACATACACCCCCGCCGGCCGCCCGATCGGTCTCGCTCCCTCCTCGCCGCTCGCCCGCGGCAGCGCCGTTTTCTCGTCCTCCTCCCCGATTCTCGCCCGCGTCGTCCGCCAGCCCGGCGCCCAGCGCAATGCCTCAACCTCCGCAACCTCCCCGGCGGCGTCGCAAAAGTCCGCGTTCCCCACGGCGGCGCAGCAGGGCGACAGACTCGACTGGAACACCTTCTTCGCGCTGCGCAAGTCCCGCCGCAGGTGGCAGCTGGGCTTCAGCGTCGTGACTTTCGGTGCGTCCTTCGTCGGCGGGGCGGGCGTGCTCGCTACCGGCGTCGCGGACCCCCTGGTCTCGCAGGTGCCGCTGGACCCCTTCATCACGCTTGGTCTTATGACGATGAGCTTCGGTGCGCTGGGGTGGCTGATTGGGCCGAGCGTGGGATCGCTTGTGTTTTATACGCTGAACAAGAGGTGGAAGAACCAGATGACGGTGGTGAGTATTTTCATGTGCAGTCGTGCGGGGCACGCGCCCAATGATCTGATGTTTGGGATGCTGATGAAATTTTGCGTGTAGAAGGAGAAGGAGTTCTTTGCTCGCATCAAGAAGAACCGTGTCGACCCCTCTGTCTCCTCTGTCGGTAACCCTGGTATGTTGCCCTCGTCTCTGCTACTTGGATGGTTGTTTGCTGACATTCGCAAAGTCCCTGATTTCTACGGCGAGAAGATCTCCAGCGTCGCAGGCTACCGCCAATGGCTCAAGGACCAGCGTGCCTTCAACCGCAAGCGCGTCACCTTCGTGTAAAAGACGACCTCATCATCAACTCGGCACATCACGGCTTGACAGCACACAAACTTTTGTATTCATCTCTTAAGGTTAATCAGGATTCATCATGGCTCTTGGGCGTAGGCCGCCCTCCTCTCTTTGTAGCAATAGGGGTATCGCGTGGGAAAAGTATGTATGATGACGGCAGTCCCCCCTTGTCAGAACAAATCCAACTTCTTGAAACCAAGACCTCGTTGAAGCTTTTTTTCCTATCTCTTCTTTTTCATGTGAACGGCAACGTCGAGTCGATCTCAGCTTTCCATGCCTTCATGCCGCCCTTGATATCACGAATGACTCTGCCGTTGCTATTTAGGCCTAAGTCCTTGAGGCGCTTTGCCGCCAGTTGGGAGTCGTTTCCTACTCTGCAGACCAGGTAGATGGGTGCGTCTTCGGGCAAGTCTGTCGGTATCCACCCGGGCTGTGGTGATGTTCCGTCTTTTGTTACTTGGGTATCCTTCATGAAGGTTGAGATCGGTATGCTCATCGCGCCGTCAATGCTGCAGATATCAAAGTTTTCCTTCTCCCTGACGTCTAGGAGGAGATGCTTTGCAGAGCCTCCCTTTGAAAGACGCTCATACTCAGTAGCGGTGATCCGCTCATCGGGTCCCAAGATGTTGACAGGAGCAGTGACACCGCAGAAGGACACATAATCCAATGAACCGGATCTTAGCGTCTCCAGGGACAACGTTGACTGCGCGGAACAAGCGAAGCAGTCCTTCCTCCTCCCGCGCATACGAACAGATCTGAATGGTCCCGATGGTGCAGCCCCCGAGAAGATCAGCAGAGAGGGCGCGGCTGCTTCCTTGACCTTGACCTCGGGGTCAACGGCGCCCGCAGCGACGAGTTTGATTACCTCGAGGGCTTGCAGCACACCCATCACTCCTACAACAGGGCCCAGGATTCCACCCTCGCCGCAGCTGACCACGCTGTCGGGCGGCGGTGGCTTGGGAAACACACATCGGTAACACGGCCCACCCTCCAAACTCCCCTGCGGTGCTGCCGGCGAGTTGAGAATGATGAGCTGACCGTCGGTGCGGAAAGCTGAGGCTGAGACGAGGGGCTTCTGGAGGAGAACGCAGATGTCGGAGATAAGGTAGCGGGAGGTCGGGTGATCAGTGCAGTCGAGGACGGTGTCGTATTGTGAGACGATTTCTTCCGCATTCTGAGGCGTGAGATGTGTTTTGTGCGCTTGATAGGTGACGGTTGGGTTCAATCTGAGATGTCAGTCATTAGATGCAAGGAACCATGGGACGGCTGTGGTCTTCTACCCTTTGAGATATGCGATGGCGCTGTCAACTTTGTACATGCCCACCCGCTCCGTTGAATGCGCCACCTGTCGGTGGAGGTTGGAGACCTCGACAACATCCCCGTCAACGAGACCGATAGTCCCGGCCCCTGCTCCGGCGATGTAAGCTGCTGCGGGGCATCCCAGTCCACCGGCTCCGATGAGGAGAACCTTGGAGCTTTTCAGCCTCAACTGGCCTGCAACATTTTAGCTTCGTCTCCTCATAAATGCCACCATCTCAAGCTGACCTTTCACCCCCACAGCCGGTATAATCAGCTGCCGCCCGTATCTCTCATACTCTTCCGCCAACAGGGGCCATTTCCAGGGTTGCTGCTGCTGCTGCTCATCGCGAGCCTCTTTTTCAGCTTGTGCCAGCTCTTCTTTCAGACCTCGAAGCTTAGCCTCTGCTTCGGCGACCTTCTGTTTCAGATACTCGATTTTGCCCATTTTCTGGTTTGGAGGGGCCGTAACGGCTTTGGCGGGGTGAGTCGCGCACAAGCGTGGGCATTTGTGCATTTTATACAAAAGTCGGAGGGGCCAATCCCGACCGCCGACCCCACGATTTAAATAGACCCGCTATTGTCGGACCCCACCTCGAATTTTTGAAAGCTTGAGCAGTCCAGAACTTTGACCAGTGCCTTCCTCAACTTCAAAGCAGCGACTTCAACTTTTGCGCCGACCAAATTCTCGCCCTTTCGAATCACGAACTTCGAGCTGCAAACACCCAATATGGTACGACGCGCCACTATTTATCCGGTGAACAATAATGCTGACCCTCCCAGGCTCCCACCGCCCCAACATCCCTCTCCGCCCGCGAGAAGCGCATGGCCCGAATCCGCGGCGACATCCACCCCCTCGCCCCTCACAAAACCCACCGCGCCGAAGCCCAGGTCGACGACGACTTCCTCACGAACAAGAAAGACAAGCGCACGATGAAGCACTCCGCCTTCGTCTCCAAGATCAGCAAGGCCAGCAGCAAGAAGACGCTCAAGCGCCGGCGCCCGTCCAAGAAGCTCGTGACGACAATGGAGTCGCTCGCCGACGCGCTGCCGGACCTCGCGGACGACGGCGAGACGGCTCACAGCCTCGAGCAGCTGAGAGAGGGCAAGGTGCGGCACAAGAGTCTGAAGAGCAGGCCTGGCGCGCTGAAGAGGAAGGAGAAGGTTGTCAGGGGGGAGATGGCGAGGTTTGGGGCGAGTATGGCGGCGCTGGCGAATGTGCCGGCTGCGACTGCGGCCAAGGTTGACGGTGGTGATAACGTCGCCATGGGAGATGCGGCCGCGGAGGAGACGAGTGCCACGGCTGGACGGTGGGCGGCGTTGAGGAGGCATATTTCGAGTACGATGGAGACGAACCCGGCGTTTAGCAGGCAGGGACCTTGAACGGCTGTCGCCGAAATGTGAACAGTTCAAGTACAAAGATCAGGATGCTCAATGGGGATGCGCCTCAGTCAGGTCACCGGGAGATGGAAAATCAGATGGCCAACTGGCATGGATGTTGACTCTCTGGATCGTTCTTCGGAAGCTCATCGACGGGCTTCTTTCGAGAAACACGGAACTTTTCCGAGACGTGAAGCGAGAGATTACTGGGGCGGAGTTTCTGACGAGCAGGCATGTTCGTCTGCATGAGGCTGGAGCTGTCTCAGGAGCTTCGTGCTCGGGCAGCTCAACGTTGGAGTGGAAAGATAATGAAATGCAGTTCGATTCGCCACTCAATGGACTCGAGAATCTTCGGATGCCTCCCGCTCGACAGGAACTGGGCGGCATGCGCAGGCAAGCAGGTGACTTAGGATCGGGTACATAGCAAAAGAGCACGTAATACCCAATAATGACTAATGCAGCTCAGAAGGGTGATTAGGCATCTCACAGCTGTGATTTTGCCTGGCTGTCATCCTCACCCGTGCCAACTGTTCGATCACCAGCTTCAACCTAGGACATGACAAATTACATGCATAATTGTCTACAGCCCGCATGTTGGTGACTAGCCCCTGCAGGCCTCCAGGGTTGCTGAATGATTGGCTGGACTGCCAGCAGAACACGGTTGTCCCCATTGGGAAGTTGATTGACGCCCCGCCTGGGGCCATCACAACCAACCACAATGGCGGAACGGGCGAGACATGTCGACTTTTGGTTGATAAGGGCATTGTAACATAACAGCCTCGCGGGCCAAGTGTCTGTAGAACTTTAATATCACCTTTGACCGCCAGGCCCCTCTTGACGAAGGCAACGCCGCAGGATTCGGCCCGCTCATTTGTGTAGATATGTGTCGTCAGCTATAAGCTTCTTCCTCTAGGTTATTCCCACACAGCCATGGGCATTTTCGGAAGCTCAGTTATTCGGAGCATGAAAGTGAACCCCCACACATTCGAATCTCTGCATAGGACTTTCGCAGGGTCTTGTTATTTTTGTCCCGTACTGGGAAGCCCGAAGAAGATCAGGCTGTGATACATGAGGTAGCAACAGCAAAGATGAGCTCTTCAATGACTATATAACATGGTTTCCCCCTCTTCATGTGTGCTCATTCACTTTACAGCTCTTATTACAAACAACAAGCTTATTACAATTCCACTCATGAAACTCATCAAACGAATCCATTCTACGTTACCTGCACCCACACAATGGCCACTTACTTGGCATTACCTGACGATCCCCCATCGGAATTGCCAAGTCCCAAGCCACTCCCAAGCGAGCATCGCACTTCGCTCTTGGAAGGCTCTGAGCCCACAGAGCAAGCCAAGCATCATTGGACCTTAAAGTCATCAAGGACGCCGCAGAATCGCACTGCCACGATTCTCCGAGGACTTTTCTACGAGCTCGTTTCGCTTGTAGTCGCAACCGCTTCTTTCTTTGGTTTGTTAGTTCTGCTCAAAGCATACGACAACAAACCAGAGCCAAAATGGTCCTTCGTGCCATGAACTCAACGAATCACTCTCAACACTATGGTTTCAATAGTCCCCACTGTCTTCCGGAGCTGTATTCTGTTTCCGGTGGCAACCGGTATCAGTCAGTTTGGTTGGATCTGGATGATGAAGCCAGGTGGTCGGTCTCTTGAAGATCTTACCTCTTATAACTCCGCTAGTGGAGGGCCACTCGGGAGTCTCAGCCTGCTCTGGAGGCTTCGATTTTGGTATGTTTGAAACTCACTTGCAAGGTTCACACCGCTAACATCTTGGCCACATTCAGGCACTCTGTGAGTATTGGTGCGTTCATAACGCTGGTCGCATTTGCTTCAGGCCCCTTCTTCCAACAGAGTGTTACGTCGGAGCTCAGATCCGTCATCGACAATGCTTTCAGTCCCAGTGCCAACGCAGTCACGGCCTACTCGTGGGGCGAAAGCGTATCATTTGGGAGTTCTACCCAATGGGCTTGTGTGTAACTTGAACATTTCTTTTGCATACTTGAGTTGATAACCAAGAAATCTTCAGTTCAGGAACTTCCATACAATATGACGGCCGCCATGTTTGCTGGACTATATGCCCCAGATCAATCATCGCCGCCCAAACCACCTTCGAATTGCCCAACAGGTAATTGCACTTGGGAGTCGTTCGGAACGTTGAGTGTCAACACGAAATGCATTGATCTATCATCACTTGTGAAGAGGCGCCAAGCTGGCACCGAGTACTACCTCGAGGCACCCCATGACCCCTTGCTGCAGGGCATGTTCGGCCAGACCAACAGATCTGACCGATATCACTTGTTTCATATCCAATCCTACATGCCGGCAGGCATGAACATGTCGTATGTTCAGCCATTTGTTAATCTGACAGCAACTGTGGTCGTCGTTGATTTGGTAAAGGTCTGGCCAAATAACTCATCAGTCATGTATGAACTGCCCGGCAAGGACTCGTTATTTGAGGCTTTCCGCTGCGCTATTTACTTCTCTGCCAAAGAGGTACTACCCCGAGTCGAGGATGGTGTTTACTCATAAGAGGTCCTGCAGGAGGTCACCGAACCGGAAAACGTTCAATTCCTGAATGAAAGGAATGACTCACTCAAGCACTTCGTCAGATATGAAGACCCCTGGAGGAGTCTGGCATTCCGACTCCCTGTCCTCTCCCCAAACAGGAGAAACAACTTCATTATCCCGAAAACAGCCTTTTATGACATCCACAGCCAGATGAAGCGCGATATTACGGGTACAGTTTCCGTTGCCAGTCGCCAGTATAGCGGAACCACGACTCCTCTTTTAGTATACAAGGCCGACAGCGTGGTTCAGCCGATCCAAAACATGGCCGATGCCATCACAACAGAGATGCGAAGAAATGGATCTAGCGTCAATCCAGAGCAGACTGTCCAAGGCCACGTGTGGATTCAGCTGCAATTTGTTGTCGTGCGGTGGGCGTGGCTGGCTCTGCCCGCAACCATGCTCGTGTTGACTTCCTTACTCCTCGCTGCCACGATCGTGAAAACGCGCAGGAAGGATGTTGGTGTGTGGCTGTCAAGCCCACTGGCCCTTTTCTTCAACGCGCATCTGGACTCGAGTGGCAAAGACGTTTTATCACTCGCCAGCTCCAGGTCACTCAACACTGCTGACGGTATGGTCCAGGCGGGGCTCAAGGCTAGCATCGACAAAGGCTCTCGCACGATCAATGTAATAGCGAAAAAGCCCGCAAAGGCGCAAAACCATCTCGAGCTGAGATCTCTGAGAAGTTTTAACCCGGGCGATTCGACTATGTGCGACGTTCATACTCGGCGATAGAATCACAGTGAATCACTGCTTGCCTTAGAGAGGAGAGACGGCTAGGAGTTCGTGACTTAGCGGTCAGCAAGGCAGGTCTTACTATGAACGGCGAATTCCTGCATCTGAGAACAGACGCAATCACTTCATGGCAGCACTTAATTTGTCTCCAAGTTACAATTTGTCGGCCTGTTTTGAAACCAAGTAGGCCTCACCAGATTTCCACCTCAACCGTTCAATCAATGAACGTGAGCCGACGGCAATAGAAAACACATTCAATGGCTTGAAGGACCGAAATGCATGTAGAGTAACTATTCTGACAGTGTGTGCAGAACTATTGCAAGTTCAAGGGAATGCTCTAGGGAATAGAAAGCACAATTCTACATTTCTTGAAGCATTGCTCGCGTCGGCAGGAGCTCATTCGGCTACCTCGATGCCAAGACGCCCGAGCCATCAAACGTACTCGCGAATAGTGACCTGCATGGTCGACCGAGGCGTGTATATCGTTGATTGGCTCCCATCAAAAGGACCTGGCGATAGCTGGTTGATTGGTCCGGCTGCCGAGTCCATTGAACAGACGTCCCACCATCAGCCCCTCTCGAGCAGGATAAGTAGTACTTCGATCAGGCTGCCGCGGGACGCTCAAGCCCTGACACCGGTCCCATCCGCTTCACGCAAATGCCGCTGTCATCTAGGGAACGCCACAGCTGTCGAACTCTCTATCATTCACATAATGTTTATCAATTTGATCTCCGACCAGAAGTGCTCGATCGATAAAACAGGATACGAAGGTACATCGTGGTTACGCCATTGATCGATACTTCCAAGGTTGTCAGTAGTCATGTCCCAAGATCGCAGCGAACAATCCGTCTCTCGTCCAAAGCGAACACGGGATGGGCGAGGCAGTTATGAGACCGAGTCTGTCTCTACGAAGCGCCAGAGAACATCAAATGAAGACGACGAAGACGAGAGGCGCAGAGCGCCAAGGAGTCTTAAGCTACTGCGTTCTGCGTACACAGTGGGCTGGATATGCGCGCTTTCAATCGAATTGGCAGCAAGCCGTGCCATGCTGGATCACATCCATCAAGACCTACCAACCCCCAATGGCGACACCAACACATACGTCTTAGGAGACATTGATTTGGGCGTCAATGGCACCCATAATGTAGTGATGGCGTGCTTGCCCTCAGGTCAATACGGGACAAATAACGCCGCAAATGTTTCAAGCAATATGATGCGAAGCTTTACATCTGTTCGTATCCGTTTCATGGTTGGCATCGGGGGTGGCGTGCCTGGAAAACCGGACATTCGACTTGGAGATGTCGTCGTTGGAGAGAAAGTCATACAACACGATCTCGGAAAGATTGTTGGCGACGATGGTTTTGAAGGCACCGGAACCCCGTGTATTACCCCCCATGATCATCTCAAAGCCATCACGAAACTTCGTGCGATACACGAAGCAGATGACAGCTCGATTCCCAAGTACTTGCGACAAATGCACCAACGCTATCCAAAGCTGCAGGCGTATCAGCGTCCCAAATCCTGCGAGGATCGCCTGTTCCTAGCCACTTACGAACACGGCCAATCCCCAGACTGCAATGGTTGTAGCCAGTCCGAGCTCTGTACTCGGCCACCGCGGAAGACCCTTAACCCGGAAGTACATTACGGCTGCATTGCTTCGGGAAACCAGGTTGTAAAGAACGGAAAGAAGCGAGACGAGATAGCCAAGAGATACAACGTCATTTGTTTTGAAATGGAAGCCGCTGGCCTCATTGATAACTTTCCCTGCATAGTAATTCGGGGCATTTGCGACTATGCCGACTCACACAAGAATAAGGAGTGGCAACAATACGCGGCAGCCACCGCTGCTGCTTGTGCCAAAGAACTTGTTTTCAACATACCACCAAAGGACACCAATCAGGGATTTCTCAACTTGAAAGAGGCATTTGATGAAGACGGTAAGTTTGAGAATTTTCATTGAATCTCACCGTCATTTTGATCACCAAATCGGACTTGATGCTACCGATGAGGATCCATTGCTAGTGCTTGCCCGGGTGATGTGTTTCGCCGAGGGACTGCAATAGAGGGAGTGTATCAGCTATGAACGAGATACTTTGCTCCAATTATCTCTCTTGGATTGCATTGAATTTAAGGGAACTATACGTTTCCTGCCATCAGAACTCCACTGACATAGCTGTAGCTGAGGCGGAGAACAACAAGATCACGGCTTACCGGCGACTTATCATGGAATCTATATACGTGGAAGAGACTGCGTCCCGAATATCAGCTATCAAGACCGCTTACACCACGACTTGCGACTGGTTACTCAGCCATCCTTCCTATCAGCACTGGCTTAATCCTGCTCAAACAACCCAACATCGTGGGCTTTTCTGGATCAGTGGAAAGCCTGGCGCCGGAAAGTCGACCATAATGAAATTCGCTCTCAGTCATGCAACTCGCAGCCTAAAGAAAACCGCCACCATCATCCACTTCTTTTTCAATGCGCGCGGGGGCAGCTTAGAAAGGTCGACAGATGGATTATATCGATCCCTTCTTCACCAATTGCTCGAGCGGTTTCCCGACCTGGAAAGAGTGTTGGATGGTTTACAGAACAAGCAACACCAAGTCAATGCCTGCCCTCCTTCCCATATTCTTCGAGATCTACTGAAGGAGGCTGTCTTGGGTCTAGCCAGTCGCCACTTGATATGTTTCGTTGATGCACTTGACGAGTGCGACGAAGACGAAGTAGGAGATATGGTGATCTTTTTCCAAGACCTTGGGGCAGAGGCTCACAAACGAGAGATTCAGCTCAACGTGTGTTTCTCAAGTCGACACTATCCCCGCATCGATGTCAGATATGGCGTCAGGCTCGTTCTGGAGCATCAGCATGGACACCACACCGACCTGCAAAAGTATATTAAGAAGTATCTCTGGAAAGATGCGGAGGCATACGTCAGGGACATTCGACGAACTATATTCAAAAAATCAGGTGGCATCTTCATGTGGGTCGTCTTGGTAGTCTCTATTCTCAACAAGGAATTTAGGCGTGGTCGTTGGTTTGCCGTTGAAGACAGGCTCCGCGAGACACCTGCAGAGCTGAGTGAAATCTTCAAGGATCTCCTGAAACGCGATCAAACCAACACAGACGATCTCTTGCTTTGTGTCCAGTTACTACTCTGTGCAAAACGACCTCTCAAATTGGAGGAGTTCTATTTTGCGCTACAAACTATGAGGCCTCGCCACCAGCAGATCCCGCCGTTTCGAAGCCCTTCGCGGATGGCAGATCACATGAAGGCATTCATAGAAAGTTCATCCAAGGGCTTAGCCGAAGTCACGGATACAGAACCGAGGATTGTTCAATTTATTCATGGGTCCGTGGGGGACTTCTTGCTCGAAAATGCCGGACTTCAGCAGTTTTGGCCTGGTATAGGTGGTGATTTCGAGGCAATGTGTCATGAAACACTTAAAAAGTGCTGCCTATCGAAAATTGGAGATTCAGTAGCAACAAGGTCGCCGCCAGAGGCCTGGGAGGAACCAGAATTCGAGATGAGAAATTACGAGAAGACGCCCCTCAGCAAGATTCCTTTTCTCGAGTACGCAACAGAGAACGTGCTCTATCATTCAAGCATTGCGGTGAAAGATATCTGTCAGGATGACTTCCTGGACCAGTTCCCTCTTCGAATGTGGACGCGTCTTGGCCGTCTACTCAAGATTCGCCCGAAATGGAAATATCAACAAAGCGTCACACTCACATATGTTCTTGCGGAAAATAATCTCGTTACCCTACTGCAAAGGCACGTTTCTCGTTTCCCTCATGTTCATCCAAAAGGCGAGCATTTTGGGTATCCGCTGTTCGCGGCATTGGCCAGAGGCCATCATGACGCAGCCAAGATACTCCTTGGTGAGGCAGCAAAACCCTTCAGCCATGCTGAGCTATTTCCTACAGCCGAGTACAAATGGACGCTCAATTATAGGAAAGCATGTAACACAACGCCGCTTCATTGGGCACTTGAGACGCGCCACAACATAATGGCCCGCCTGCTTATCGACTCAGGCCAGTTCGATCTTGCAGACCAAAATTTGGAGGGTCGTTTGCCTATTCATTCCGCTGCGATAGGTGGAGATGATGCCACTCTAATCTATCTGCTGGAGAAAACAGTTGCATCAATGAGGCAGGCGTTGGGCACGGCAAGCTGTACGTTGCCAATGATGGTAACCACCGACGCGAGGGATAGGCCTGTTCTTTGCAGCCTGGTCGTAGTTCGTTCAGAAAGCAAGTCTGGGCAGCCGCCATTATCATTCGCAGTAGATAAGGGGCACGAGTCTATGATTCAATTGCTTATCAACTGGGGCGCTTCGATCAACGATGAGGATGAAGAAACACTTTCGAGGCTTGCTTATGTTGCTTTAAGGCTCGACTCTTTGGACATGCCTCTTGTTCAGTTTCTTGTTGGCCGAGGTATGTTCACCAAAAAGAAGCTCTTGGTCGAGGCTGTCAGGCATGGCTTCCAAAACATCGTGGAGCGTCTTGCGTACAACGAGGAACACATTCAGAGTGCCAGCATGGACGGGAGAACCCCTCTTGACACAGCGCTTCGCGGGAGGTACTGGACGACAATTAAGACTCTCGTCCAGAAGGGGCACGTTACAGGACTCAGGAGTCGGTATGGCCATGACGCTCTGCACTACTTTACATCGACCGGTGACTTTGACATGGTCACTGTGCTGTTGGATCGTGGAGTAGAGGTAAATTGCAAAGACTCATGTCGCGAGACGCTTATTCATAGGCTTGTCTCCATTGGCGACATGTATTTCATCCAACTCTTCATTGAAAGCGGAGTAGACGTTGACAGCCAAGACCGAGTAGGTAGAACGCCCCTTCATGAAGCAGTTTGCGATGGCTGTGCGGAATTGGTCATGCTGCTCCTGTACTATGGTGCAACAGTGAACTGCACGGATGTAGATGGGAGAACCCCCCTTCATGACGCAGTTTCTTACGGCCATGAGGATATGACACAGCTCTTGATTGCAGAAGGAGCCAGAGCTTCCTTGCCGGACCGCTTTGGCCGGACAGCCCTTCAAATGGCGAGCCAGCGGGATTACACAAGCATAGTTGAACTCCTGCGCCAGAATGACAGCGATCAGGCGACTGATGATGAGGAAGTGGATAATGAGGAAGTGGAAGACGAGGAAATGGAAGACGCGGGAATTGAAGACGCGGGAATTGAAGACGAGGAAGAGGAGTACTTCACCGCCGTTGGTTGTAGGGATTCTTCCGAATCCCCAGATGAGAGTAGAGAGAGTTGACCAGCGACGGTACTGGCGTCCAAATGATAGGCTACTGAAGTTTAAAGGTATTTGTAAGATACCTAGTAGTGACACCAAGTCTGCAATCTTGTACCGATCTCGTCGCCCGGGGAGCAAGGCCAATCAGCGAGATATCTTCTAGGATAGATGGACTTGAGACAGACTGACGTTAACTGGAAAACGGCTCTCAGGAACTAGGCTAGATATACTGCTTGATGTTCTTTCGGCTGTGTGCTGAGACTGCCGCGGTGTGTGCCACGAACCACAAAGAGTGAGATGGCCTAAATGCCTCGCTTGTCTCTTGCCATTATGTTTTGGTGAAGCAACGACAAGATGTAATATGGAAAAAATCCAGATTCGGGTTTGCGCTGATCCACGCAATGTCGACACATGCAAACATACTCCCTTCTCCAGAGCCAGAGAAAATGAAAAGCACCGGAAAAGTAGGACAAAGATGTGAATCGAGATAAAATTACAAATTAAACCATCCTTGCCAATCGTGGACGCGTCTGCCAACTAGGACATCCCCACCCAGTAATAACATGGTTCGCTGTCATTTGACGATCGAGTGATGTCAGCCCAAGGCCCAAGGCCCTACCGGATATTTATGGGGCACCCTCGCTGCGTGTTGTGCAGCGCGTTTGCCCTACAGAAACCGTCAACGACGCGTGATCCTAGGGAAAGGATGGGTAGGTGCGACTCCGTCGTCATAATCGTGGGGATCGTCAGGAGGGGGCGGCTTGGGACTGGGTTGTTTGCCCAGACGCAACGTCACTGCTTGTCTTGGTTGGAGAAACTGCAGGAAGGCTGCTGTTGCCTGTTTTTGATAGCATTTGGTTGCTGTTTTCCTCGGAAGAAGAGAATTTGGAGAAGGCATAAAAGAAGTCGAATTTTCGGTAGCTATCAACGCGCTTTCTCTCATCTTCATCCGCATCCGCGATAATATCTGCGACCGTAACAATTAAGCACCACCAACTACGACATCAAAACACATCACATCATCAACATGGCCAACACCAACCCCGCCAACTTCGCCAACCTGTTCGATCATCTCTCCCTCTTTCGGAAGACATTCTAGCTGACAATTACAGCCCTACCGAGGAAGTCCAGGCAATCGCATCCAAGGGCGGCCAGGCCAGCCATGGCCCCGAGGAGGTCATCTCCCCGACCGGCAACCTGAACCCAGGCAACTTTCAGAACCGGTATGCACCTTCCATCCTTGAATGACAATTCCCCGCTCCATCCGAAGGGAAGGATGCATCTCGGTATCTGGGAGGTTGACTGACGTGCGTGCAGCCCCACCGAGGAAGTCCGCGAGATCGCAGCCAAGGGCGGCCACGCCAGCCACGGCTCCGGTACCCACACCTCGGAGGCCGGCAACGGCAACCCCGCCAACTTTGCCAACCGGTACGACCCGCTTCCGCCCCGTTCCGGCATTTGAACCTTCTCCCATGACGAGGGTTGCTGCGTGCATCTTGCTAACGTTTTCTCACCAACAGACCCAAGGAGGAAGTCCAAGAGATTGCCGCCAAGGGCGGTCACGCCAGCCACGCGGGCGGCTTCGCCAGCATGGACCCCGAGAGACAGGTGCGTTTGTTCATAGTCGCTACAGCAGTTCCCCCACGAGCACCGTTGTCATGGTTGCCATTCAAATTCTAGAACGCCGTTTCGCTGACCGTTTGTTATTTACCACAGCGCGAGATCGCGTCCGAGGGCGGCAAGGCGTCGTCCGGGTCCTTTGAGCCCGGCTCCGAGAAGGCGCGGGAGGCTGGTCGTAAGGGTGGTCTCACCAGCGGTTCTGCTTGAGCCCAGTTTATGAGATTACTAGGCCAGCAACATTGTACGATAGAAAGAAGGGCCACGACTTGACGAGCAAACAGGGAGATGATCTGCAGGGTCTCCGTCGAATGATTATCTGATATTTTGTCAACATTTGCGTTTGTTGTGCTTGTCAGGGTGTTTCGCCCAACGTTCGGGCCGCGCGCGGATATGCCTTCCGCTGCGGCCAGAAAAGCTTGGACACACTCGGATGTTTGTGGGTGATGTCGGATCAATAACAATTCACGGGCGTGACCTTTTGAGAGGTAGGGATGAGTCTAGGCCCTCCTCGGCAGATCACCTCAGTCTGGTTTTCGTCTCGACTTACATGAAGTGTGTTAATTTGGCACTTGCCCTCCCGGATTCCCAGAATACAAAGCCAGCCAGCGAAGGAAACCCTTTCTCAGAATGCCACAAAACCAAGAAAGCAGACCGGAAACGAAGCGGCTGCCACCGGATTGTAACCTTGCCAATCGTGGTTGGTGGGAAAAGGCGGCGCCAGCTTACCGGAAGTCTCCCTCGGCAAGCGCCGACCGGAGAGTTTCCCCCCCTCTGTGTTTTCTTGTTTACCCCACCCAGTGGCCCGCGGCCCCGGCAGTCCCTGCGCGCGATGCAGCAGCAGCAGCAGAAAAGAAAAGATGAGGCTGTCCTTGCGCAGTGAGTGTGAGGTGAGTACCGTGAAGGTTTGTCCGCGGATAAGGGTCCGGCGCAAGGTCCTCCGTCAGCATGGCCAGCAGTCACCAAAGCAAGTACGCCGTACGTGTAGCAGCCACGTTGGGCATCCTAGGCCGGTTAGACGGCTTTCCCTCCCAATGCAAGCACTAAGTAGGTACAGTGATGGTTCGCTGGGCTGGTGAGGCCTGCGGCGGGAATTGCCCCAGGTGGGTGGTATCCAGCGTATCAAGGTCGACGGCCCATTGCGATGGTCTGGAACGGGTGCCGCAGCACGGTGACGTAGACGAGGTGAAACCAGGCACCTCGATCGATCTTGGTCCAGCGAGCAGCAGCACCAGCAGCACCAGTGCCCACGGAGAAGTCATTACCGCTTCTTTTTTTGTTTTCCCCAACCTCACAGTGCTGTAAAGTATGGCGGTGACTAATTCCATTTATTGGAGAGAGGGAGGGAGCAATAAAGTAAAGTAAAGATAAGCTACGCAGCGGGCATCATCATGCAGTGCTGGCACTTTAATCTACCAGCTACAAGACACCGTCGCAGCCAATGTCACAGGCCGGACACGCAAGAGCGGCACCCCCAGATTCGGAGAGATGGCGTTCCAGATCTCGTGCCACCTTTCTCTTGTGCACTTTCTCCTCTTTGCCCAACTTGGGCGTGGCTGCCATCGCAGATGATCGGCCCAGGTTTCGTCCTTCTTGTTTTTGCTTTTTGGGTTTTGCTAGGCCAGCCCTGAAAGTATGTAAACTGGCGTGCTCCCACTGCCCATCTCCTTGGTTGCCCGTCCTTGGACGTTTTGCTCTGTTATTTGAAAAAAGTGCTCGCCTACTATACGCTCTTACCGCCAGAGATTTAGAGAGCCTGAATTGCGTTTTCTCGTATTCCAGTAATCAGTGAAACCTTCCGCCTGCCCTGCGCCGAAGCATCTCTCCCCCGGGGGATCCCCAGACAATCCGCGGTCGAATTGGAAACAGGACCCCGTCGAGAGTGTTGGGTCGTACGATGGCTGCGGCAGTGGGAGCTCCAGCAGCGTCCTCGAGCAGTCCTTTCAGCGTGCCAAGGTGTGTTCAATCTTTTGCAGTATTTGTCTGTCTGTTGTTCATGGCCTGCATTCCCGTCATCAGTGTCTTGTGACCCCTCCCCCGCTGTGCTGTGCTTCAGTGGAGGAAACGGCGAGGCCGCACCAGTCGAGTGGCTTTCCGGGCTGCGAGGAGCCCGACGCAGCCGGTGGCCCCAGCTCCCCAGCCCCCCACACACCAGCATGCGCCTCAAGTGTGGCTCATCCCCTCTCCCCAGCTGGCCAATGCTTCTGCTGCTTGGAGGGGTGCTCAGCCACGGCCACGTCCTCGCACCCTCGTCATTCGTCGCTGGTGTCGCTGCATCGTCAGTCATCAACGCGAATCGAGGTGCACCGCAAGCCTCATTCGCAATGCTGTCTGGCCCCTACCGCCCTAGATTTCAGCCCAGTCCGTTCCCAGTCTTTCGTCTTTCCGCTGGTGCAAAGTCACCCTACTCCAAAAACACAGCAACACCACAGCACAGCGCAGCACAACCCCCCCCCAGACAAACGGGCAGCGTCTGTTCTTCCCCACCCCGCCGCCGCCGCCGCCGCTAGCACCTGGTCGAGGTGACCCTGTGACTGGATCCCCCAGCAGATCCCAAAGTGAAAGGACCCAGTCCAGCACCGAAGATAGAGAAAGAGAAGCCGGAGACCCTCTCCTCCATCCCCGCCCAAAAAATTGCAGCACCACCGAAAGAAGGAAACCGCCTCGTCCAGGGTCCCTTTCTTTCTGCAGGTTGTCTGTTTTTCTTTTTGGGCTTTGATTTTTTTCAAACATCTCGTCATCCCTCCCCCCGAATTGTTTACATTCCCATTTCCCTTCTCCCCCTCCTTCTCCCCTCAACTCTCTCCCAAACACCACGAGCAGGTGTGATCGATCCCCCAGAAAGATCGACATAACCCTCGCCCAAACCGACTTAACCTCCCCTCTGACGCAAATTCCTCGACCCGAACAGCCGCTTCCTCGCTTTCCGTCGTCATCACCACCAGCAATCACAACCACAACCGCAACAGTCGCCGCCGCCTCTGCAACCGCACCGCGAAAGCTCCGACAGCTCCTCCTCCTCCGCGCAAACGCCCTCGTCCGCGTCCCTCTCACCGACACCGAGCTCCAGCAGCAGCATCACCAAGTCCGGCCAGAGGTCGGAGTCGCGGCTCAGCATGCCTTTCAGGAAGATGGCCCGTCACTTTGGTGACACTGTAAGACTCTCTGCCTCGTTTTTCTCCTCCCGCGCGACCGTAACCCGTTCGCTGCCGCGTCGCACTGCTCTCGCATCGTCCGACACGACGGCCGGGCACATGGCCTGTCCTGTTGCTATCATCTCGTCGCCGTAGCAGGTTGCGCAGAGCAGAGCGACAACGCAGGGCGGGCGAACGCGGGGTACACTTTCTGACGGGGGAGGCCCGTTTCAGCGCTGCATTCCAAAAAAAACGGACGAGACTTGTATGAGCTGACCTGTGCTTCTTCATGTAGCTCTCCCCGCAGGCACCTTATTTGTCGTGTAAGTCATTCTCTAACCCCCCGCAATTCCCGCGCATCCAGCGTGGATAGTATCAGTGAACTCGACTAACAGCCTTGCGTCGCAGATCATGATATCCTCCGTACGTTCTCCCGAAACAGCGCGCCCCGAGCCGCTTCGTTCTGTCCCTCCCGAGGTCGTCAACTAACCCATCCCAGTAACCTACGAAGACATCAAGTCTTTGAAGAACGATTGGTTAACAGATAACGTACGCTTCTCTCTCTTTCTCTCTCCGACCACCGTTAACGTCTCTAGAACATCGCCTTCTGGGAAGAGTACGACCCCTCAATGCCCCCCTCTCCCCCGCAAACCTAACATACCTAGATGGCTCGAGCGCGAGATCCTCCCGAAATACCCCCAAGCCCGCATCATCCTCCTGCGGCCGTCGATGACCTTCCTCCTAATGAAAGAACCCGACATGCGCCAAATCCGCTCCGCCCTCCCCGACTTCTCGAAAGTAACGCACATTTTCCTGCCGATTAACGATGCTCGAAACGTCGCACAAGCCGAGGGCGGCTCCCACTGGTCGCTTCTCCTAGTATCCGCCATCGACGGCGTCGCTTTCCACTACGACTCCCTCGGCGGCGCAAACTACGCCGAAGCCCGCCTCGCGACGCAAAAAATGTCCGAGATCCTCGGCCGCCCCCTCAGGTTCCACAACCTCGACGACTCCCCGCAACAAGAAAACGGCTCCGACTGCGGCGTCTTCGTCTGCATCCTCATGCGCCACCTCCTCGTCAAGCGATTGCTCTCGGCCAATGCTAGGGAAAAGGTCAGCATGAGCATGGCGAACAAGCTCATCGATTCCCACGGTGGGCGCAAGGAGATGCTCAAGATCATCGAGAGCTTGAGGAAAGAGGGCGAGAGGAGGAGATCGTAAGCGCCTTCCTTTACCATCCCCCTGAGTCCTTACCCCCGGACTCTTGCTTCCCGCAAAATACTTGTCTTGTGTCTTTGTTGTTGTACCTCCAAATCCTCGTATCATACCGAAAGGGTTCCCTGACACCCCTTCTTTAAAAAGGAGAAGCGCGTCACCGTACTCGTCAAAGACGCCGCCGCGAATCGAATAGTACCCTCCCGACGACCGATCGATCACACCGAAATGACGACTACCACCACTACACACTTTCAATTCTTCTCTAATGTTTTCGATAAACGATATCCACGAAGGCATGCACCCATTGTATTTGTTCTCCAACAACCTACTGTCCGAATAAGCAACACAAAAAAATGTCACGAAGTATGAGCGATTGGCAAGAGGAGGCGGGACGAAGTTTTAGCCGGCGGACATGTCGTTCGAATCCGAGTACGATGCAGTCGAGAGCTCCAGGTCTTCCAATGAGAGGTGGATTTCCGGAAGGGATGGCTTGGGGACGGTTCATGAAGACGAACGTAGAGCGAGGAGGGGCCATATATCTGGCGATGTTCAAACTGGGGGCGGGGAATAGTCGAGGCGAGGCGTTTAGGCGTGCTCAATGCGTGGGGATTCTGAAAAGACGGATCTTGGGTTTTACATATTATCGCTCTTGTCTTTGCAGGAGCAGAACGGAATGGCTACCTTAGGCAGACATACATGCTCCTGTGTGGAGTCTTTTCTCACAATTCACGATGCATCCACAACCTTCGTAGCGATGTCTCGGTTCGAGCGATGATAACCGAGAAATTATGGTGGGAAGCTTCTTGGGGGGGGGGGAGGGGTTGCTCTTCGCTTCGTTCATCGCATAACGGTAACCACCATAGACGATTGGGTTGCTGACTTAGGTACGGTGTGTGCCTGCTCAATAAAGCGCTCCAATCCAAAGTTCAGAGGTTGTCCTGTGTCGAGATATTTCGAGCATCGATCAGGAGGTTATGATTGGGAAGGGGGTGGGCAGTAGTTTTTTTGTAGGGCGATACAGTACCCGGTATTTGAATTGGCCCGTCTGGTTGTAGAGGCCGAACGGTTGCTCCTGTCTAGGTCGCTGGCATCTGGCTTGACTCCCTTCAAACACTCACTTCCTCAGAGATTTTGCTAAGGCCCCAAGTCTTAGCGGTGAATTGTTGAATCTTTCCCTTGGACCAACAGCTCTGCTCATCAATTTGCATAAAATGCTAGTAGGACAAGTGTCTTGCTTAGTTTCCTAAAGATTAGAGCCCGGCATCCAGCCACCGGTAATGAGCTACGAACTGGTATATAAAAGCATTATTTAAGGGTTTTGCTAGTCGGGCAGTGTTTGTTAGCTATCCAGGCAGTATCTCTGTCTATAATTATAGAGAGAATAATCAAAGGAGTAATAATAATAACAATAACGACGATAACAACGACGATAATAGATAATTATAATAATAAAAACGAGAGTAAGAAATATAATAGTTATTTTAGAAATATATCATAGATTATATACGCGTATATAGATACTACCCGGATAGCTAAATAACACTGCTTCACTAGCAAAGCTCTTCCTTAATCACAGGACCCCTAGTTCTAAACCTAAGCTAATGAAAACGCATAATGATAACCCTCCCTGAATTGAAACCCAAAGCTATGGCTGAACCAGAAGCCTTCGCTACGTCTGGACGGTACTCTGGAGGAAGCCAAAGAAACCTTTTTCCGTCCTTCATGATCCAGCTCTTTTCTCTCCCTGTGTGGCCATACCCTTGAGGATCCGAGGCTCCAAGTATTGACGGCTTAAGCCGCACTCTTCTATCTATCATTAATGACCTATCAGTGAGATCGATAGTTCCAAAATTAGTATGGAGCTCAAAGTCAGAATCTGAAAATCTAATCCACAGCAAATACGGATTTGACAAATGTGTGAGATGTGAATATCTCTGACTTTGGCGAAGGTCAAATGCACCGCCATTTTCTGGGACGGCTACAAGGCCTTCCTCAGTGTGGCACACTTCTAATACTTGCATAGGCCTCCCAGTATCATCGCTCTCATCTCGAATTTTTATCCGGTGGCCGTAATATTCAGCGACATGAATATGATCGTTGAAAATTGTTGCCGAAGAAGCGGAGAGGAGGTTGTTTTGGATTCTTTGTAGGCATCGTCCGCTTTCTGTATCCCAGACGCATGTTCTGTCCCCTGAGAGCGTCACGAAACGGCTACCATCACTGGCCAAAGTAACACACTCGATCATAGAATCGTGTTGGTGGGTGACGTTGCTCTGAAAATCTTCCGGGGCTGCAGCCGGGACGATGTCTGCGAAATGTCAGGGGTTTGTGGAATAGAGAAAGAGACTCAGCAGCAGGGTTTCCCACTCCGAGATTTTTGCAGGCTGGTTTCAAGAGACGATAGAAAGTCTCTGACTCCTTCAAGGCATTGAAAGTCGCGTCGACACGGACCAGGAGTTGAAATGTTGTCCGGATCGTGCAGACGAGAGGACATCCGTGGTTGATTTATTGTCAAGTCCCAGAGCTTGACCGACCTGTCATTGTCAATAGATGCAAGCAGGTTGCCGTCTTTCGAGAAGGTCATCCATTGCACAGGTGTACGATGGCCAACGAGCACACGTGCACATCCATTGCCAGCTTCCTCCCACAATTCTATGTCGCCGCTTTCCTGGCTAAGAGCGACCTGGTCGCCTTTGCGTGAAATCGCGATAGCTTGCGTCGATGAGAGCGTCTTGTTTTTCAGCAGGACAGAACGATGACCGGTCGTGATATTGCTCATTTTCACTTTCTCTGAGCAAATGGACGCAACGTAAGATCCTTCGTGCGAGATTGCTACCAATCTTGCCGAGTAATGGTCAATAGTTGTGACACAGAAACCTGTTGTCGTCTGCCGAACCTCCACGGGTTTGTCGGGGGTCCCAAGAGCCAGAGCAGCCAAACATCCATCTCCCGAGAAAGCCGCTGAAAGGACGTCACCGACCTCAAATATGTGCATGCATTGACCATTTCTCGTGTCCCATAGCTGAATGCTGTTGGAGGTTGAGTTCGCAAGTGTATGTCCATCAGGTAAAAACGTAAGCGCAAGAGCTTTACCCCTGGGATTGGTCATCCTTTGCACGCAATGGCCAGTCATTATGTTCCACACTCCAATGGAAGAGTCCCAATATCTTGTGACTGCTGCGACCAAAGTTCCGGTGGATGAAATGGCCACAAGAATGGTATCGTTGCATGTGCTCAGTGTTCGTACACAATGACCCGTCACCGTGTTCCACAGCTTGACGGCACCATCTCGAGATGAAGAGGCCAGCATGGACTGATCAGAAGAGAAAGCCACTGATTTGACCCAATCTCGGTGCCCTTCAAAAGTCTGGATGCATAGACTCCAGTCTTCGGCTACTGCAGGCTTCAGAGGCCAATTTGGCCCTTCAGCTTGGAAAAGTCCTCCAATGATGCTTGTGCTTGGACTAAAAACAAGCGCCGAGAGGTAAACCTGCATCGGGTCGACTTCAATGGCGACCCTGAAATACCGGACGAACCGTACTGCATCTCGGACAAGGAGCTTTCCTTCCGAAGGTTCTTCTGAGGCCTATGAGCGATTAGTCAGGCAGAATAAGGATGCTGTCACCACTAGCTAACCTCAATGATCTGTTGGATTTTGGAAACGGACAGTATACCCTCGTTTGAACTCCGCGGCAGACTCAATGCTTCGAGCCAATGAAGGAAATGCTGACAAAAGAACGCGTAAACTTCCTCAAATTGAGATTGTCCAACGTCGGTTTTGAAATGGTCAGCCCAATATATACATGCATATTGGGCTGAAGAGAGTGGATCTGGAGTTGGAACACGCAACTCTTCGAGCGGAATTCCATGTTTCTCGATGTTATAAATATTCCGTCGCAAGGTGTCTGACATAGTACCCAGAAGCTTTGATAAAATGAGATTGTGCCCATGCCCAATTCCCAAAGGCAGGATTTTGCTTGCCTGCCCAAGTAGAAAGTCTTTTGCCGACTGGTGTATGAAGTAAACCATTTCTCCTCGTATGGTCAAGAGCGATCTGCACTCTTCCACTATTTCTGTCAAGAACTCTACATGGTCGAGGAGGCGGGCCAGCTCTGCTAAGTGAAGAGGACGAGATACGATCGACATGGTTGCCAATACCTGTCTACACTCTTGTGCGTCTAGAGAGTCCAGGATCGTATCAAGAATGCGTCTGTACAACGAGTCTAGTCCTTGAGGGAATTCGTACAGCTTTTTCTTGATATGCCTTTCAGCGACTCGGTTGTCTGCTAACTGCTCGTAGACCAAAGAAACCCATAAAAACGTGTTATTTGCTTTGCTAGCAAGATATTCGCGAATCTCGGCCTTCGTCTCGTGCTCAAGATCTTTTAGACTTGCCAACTTGTCCACTTTGTGACTTATGTAGCAGTTTACTGCTGCTGCGATGATGTCCTCGTTTAGCTCCAGGGACAGATAAAACTTCGTGTCCTGCAGAGCGGCGGCTAGTGCCCTGTCCATCCTCAACTCATGACGACTTGACGCAATAACTTTTACGTGCGCTGGTAAGTCGATAATGAAGCTGATGAGATGGTCAAGCCCCGAGGTACATTCGTCAAGGGCGTCAATGACCAGGACGACGTCATGTAGCGTCGAATGACTAACAGCTGATAGCATCATTCTACACAAGACATCCCAGCTGTTGACGTCCTCGAAAAGCCGCTTTCCAGCTCCTGCGTTGTCATACTTTCCGCGGAGAAGTTTTAGGAGAACGGGGTTCTGATCGAGTATATGATAAAGCAAACCGCGGAGGACGAGTGTCGCGGTATTGAGTCGTGCGTCTGTTGCTTGACAAAAGAAGAAGAAGGTCGACTGGTGACCCATCACAATCAGCTCGTCGATAATGCCGCACAAAAGCATCGTCTTTCCCTTGCCGGGACTGCCTTTGACCCACAACAGACGTTTTTCGGCTCGCCATCGACAAAAGTCGTCGTGTTCAAGGATCCAGCGGTATGAATCTTTCAGGAGGTTGCCTTTGGTACGCTCGATGCGCATCTTGTCGTCGCGAGGGTCGGTGACACCCAAATCGGCAAGAAAGTTGTCTTTCTCGTTGTTGACTATTTGCCATATCAGTGTACTGACTTTGCATTGTAACCGACATGTGGTTTGGGAGAGATGCGCCTTCTTCGAACGGTTGACGAAGAGGGCGCCATATTACGTTCTCTACAACAGGAGCAGACGCGGTCGCGGAAACACAAATATGCATGTAGGGAGATGAATGTAAGCAGTCCCGCCCAAGATGCAGGACCTGAGACAATCATAACATATGCGACGGGTTTCGTACCAAAGTTCATGCTATTCGCATTGTATTGAGTACCCAAGCCCGTATTATTGTTCTGATTGCCTGCTCCAACGTTGTTGTGCTGGGCACCTGCGCCGATGTTGTTCACATCCGTTTGAACTTGCGTTGTTCTGTTATCGTGAGCTTCGGAGTTCATCGTCAGGCGTCGACGCTTTCGTGTACCACCCTGGCTGGGCATTGCGCTGCAGTATTTTATGAACTGATCACGAACGTCGAGTCAAGAGGAGGGAGCTGTACTGGGGGCAGCCTTCTGCCTGGTCGCGCTGTTGTCTGATGTAGCCTTATTCCAGATGTCGATCAGAGATGGTCACCACTGCGTTGGTGTATTGTATTTCGACACTCAGCGCCAAAAAGCTTTCAAAAGGGAGGAGATGATGCCACCGAGTCGTGTGTCGGCGTGAAAGGATGTAGACTCATGGATAAGTGGTAGACGGATGGAAGAGCCCACATGAGGGGCTAGATGTGTATGATGGATGAAGATGGCGGACGAAATTCAGTCAGCAGATGGGGTCTAAACTGCTGCTCGCGAATCGACACGTTTCTTGGCATCCCTGGACGTCTCCTGCAGCCTGATCCGACTACCCCTGCTTGTGCGGTTGGTGATTTGATCACACGTGAGCGACACTATTGGCTGTTGTACGACTTAGGTTTGCACTGATATATGCTGTACTTAGGTTGGCAACGAATGATGCTTGTTCTCTCCAAGCCAATCATCTTGGACAACCTTTGTATGAACTCTTTTGATTTTCCTGCGTGAGAGCGACCACTTTTCCTACGTCTATACTGTACCTTACCGTCGTCATCGTTGTCGTTATCGCTATTGTTATTGAATTTATCGCGGTTGTCGTCGCTAAAAGTATAATAATTATTTCCATTCCAATATCGTCTATTAGAAGTGATCGACTGCCTAGCAACTTGAGCCGCGCAGACGCAGAAGATCATCTTTGTGTCAAGGCCCTATCTAGCATTCGCACTTCACAAAATTATCTTGCTTTATTTTAGATGTGCCATCAATTCATTTCTATTCTGATTTGTAACCTAAATTTGTACTTGAAACATAAAGACTCATAAAGACTCAACGTCATTACTCTTTTCGTGTTCGTAAAGGCAGGAGGAAAAGAACCGTGTTGGCTGAAACCAGAACAGATTTGGAAAAAACCTCAACCCGGGGCGAAATACCATCCTAACTCATTCACTTCATAATACTATCATACACACTAAAGCTGTTAGCTCAAAGGTTGATTGAACCAATCTTGGCATTGTTCTCATTGAAGACATGCAGTGTCTTCGCAACAACGGTGCCGCCAAGGTGAATACCACTAGACGAGGCAATACCGGTAGCGACACCAGCCGCAATGAGGGTGAGATCAAAGACACCAGAAACCATGCTCGTCGCAAAGTCGAAGACGGCGTTCTGCGCCGCCTTCGAAGTGGGTAGCGATAACTGGGCCGTTGGTGCGGACGTTGGTGAGCTTGTCAAAGTTGGCCGCGATGCTCTCGTGGCTGCCGGGCAGCAGGTTGATGGTGTGGTCGATGATGATGATGCCTAGGACCCGGGCGGCGGCGTTGACGACGTGGATCTTGAACTTGAAGCGCTTGATTTGGCCGGTGGATGGGGCCTCGAGGCCTGTGATCAGGGCGAGATCCCTGGTCTCGACGGAATCGGGCTGCACTGGGGAGCGAAGGCCGAGACAGCGGCGTCGCGGGGAACCTCTTGAATAGCCACAAAGACCTCGGCAACGGGCATGGGGGAAGTCGGCCAAGGAAGAGAGCAGACATGTGGAACTGCATTTTGTATAAAGAGTGTGGTGAAGAAGGGTCTTCGTAAAGAGTGTGTTTTGTTAAAAGGGCAGCGAACGTTGTTGTTTAGACTGTTGATGGCGACGAGGACAGAAGAGAGACCGAAGATCACGGCGTAGACAGCGGCTTATAAATTTTTCATGGGCCCAGCCTAAATTGTGACAGAATCTCACAGAGATATTTGCTGCTCGTGGTCTGAGATGGGTTCTGCTTAGCATTTCGAGAGCAAAGTTTCAATCCACAATGTCCTTGGCATTTATTACTTCATGGAGTCTTACACAGAGCTTATCAGCACTGCGGCGTCAAGAGATGATATATGGGATATGGCCTGGAGTTTTCTGAGAAGGTCTAAGGAGCGAGAAAGCCCAGAATATTACCTGTGTTCTCAATGAAACCAGAACGACGCACAGGGCTAACACTTGGTTCCTCAGAAATGTGAGTGACTGCAACGATTGTATCCTTTGGGACATGTAGTGCGTATTACTACAATTATTGCTCTTAGAAAGTGCTGTTAAGATGTAGATAACTCATAAGTGTTTCCCTCAAGACTATCTATATATTAGGTGGTTCTATTGCATGGTATACTATGCTAGCAGTAGAGCCTTAACGCAACTAGGGAGATCTTCCCTCCTGCTTCTTAATTGAAACAAATACTAATAGAAGGTCCTGCAATCAAATAAGCTTTGAACCAGCCCTTCGCAGAAAGTAGCAGTAGAAGTAGCTTCTTATGGGGACTGTTAGCCTAATGGTTTCCTTTCTATTAGTGCGTAACACAGCAGACTTATGATGTACCTGTTAATACGCTGCCACCAGCCCTCTAATAGAGTTCCGACGATAGTGAAAAGACGGGTGGATAATTCAAAGCACATCACTAAACGTGATTACTTCTAAGGAGTCATTACAGTTACTTCCCTGCCCGGTATCAACGCTAAACTACCGAACTTCCCTGATAGAATCCTTGACACTCTTGGAGCAGAAAAACTCCCTGATGTCCTTGATGAAGTTATCTGGACATTCCAGGGACGAAAAGTGACCACCCCTCTCATATTCCTTCCAGAACTGCACATTTGCGGCCTGCTGAGCCCAATCCTTTGGACACTGAATTTACTGTAAGCCCCCTAGCACGTGAAAGCTCTGGGCAGATGTGGCGCCGACTTACGTGGAGCTGTTCTTTGGCGTACATGCTGACGCCAGTGGGACAGGCGACGTACGCCTCGAATGTCTTCTCGGCCTCGCGACGGGAACCGAACGCCTCGCGATAGAACCTCAATCCGGGAGTGGCGCCTTGGATCCAGTGCATCATGACGAGGGTGATGATGGTGTCGTTGGTAAACGCCTCCTCAACGTCGCCCCAGTCGTGAAACTTCTCCACAAACCAAGCGAGCAGGCCGAGAGGGGAATCCCCCAGCGCAAACCCGAGAGTCTGTGGCCGAGTCTTCTGCTGCTCCAGATAACCGCTCTGGTCGACCTCGAAATTCCGTCTCACCCTCAGCGCCTCGTGCTCGAAGGGGGTGTAAAAAAACCTGGAGAGGCACCACCGGAGATAGGCCCTGGGCGCCGAGAAGGGTTTTGGCGGCGGGACGGGGAACATGTTCAGGTGCTGTGCCCTGACGACGGCGGGATACTGCAGCGCGATGGACCGGGTGATGAACGAGCCGAAATCGCCTCCTTGCGTGACGAACCACTTGTAGCCCAGCACGTCCGTCATGAGTATCTTGTAGGCCCGCGCGACGATCTCGGGCCCCACCCCGGACACGGAGGGGGCCGGGGAGAAGCCGAAGCCGGGGATCGACGGGGCGACGAGATGAAAGGCCTGCTGGCCCGGGCCGCTGGGCTCCGTAAGCTCCCGGACCACACGGGCGGCTTCTACAAACGAGCCCGGCCAGCCGTGGGAGAAGAGCAAAGGTATGGCGCCAGGCCTTGAAGACGCTGTATGGGCGAAGTGAAGAACGAGACTGCCATAGCCTGGGACATCGACCTTGACGAGGTAGTGGTTGAATATGGCATTGAGAAGTTCCTATGGCCGGGATGAGGTAGTCAGTACTGTTTCGCTGAAGACAAGAGATAGTGTTTGTTCATGCGGCGTGGTTGACTGCAACGTCTCACCTCTTGCGCGCTCCAATCGTACGTATTTTGCCAGTATTCGGCGAGCTCCTTCACTGCCGATACTTTGGCTCCTTGGCTCCAGTCCTGGGGTCCAAAGTCGATCTGCTCTTCTGGGTACCGCGCCAGACCCAGCTTTTGTTTGGTGACAGACAGGAAGTCGTTCTCGATTCCGATCTTGATCTTTTGAGGGCGGTTGACCTTGAGATCTCCCGTCAAGCCATGAAAAATGAACGGGCTCATGTCGAAAGGAGGAGGCGAGGGAGGGAGGGTCTTCCGGCGCGTGATCACTAATTAGTAGGTTTGGCAAAGGGTTGTTTCTGTCGACAACCTTAAGTCCGAGGAGCAAAGGACTGACGAGACGTTTGAATCTTGCAGCTCGTCATTCCAACTGCAGTGTGCCAAGGTTTTGTAACCACAATATTTAGAGACATATTCAAGATGATGTAATGCCCTCACCGTCCATCTTTTCATCCATCCCAAGGCTGGAGCAACCATAAGTGAAAATCGAGGTCCACTTGCCGTCAGGGACTTTGTGGGCCGCCCCTAGCGGCGCTTGCGTTTGCACTTTAACGGTAAGGCCTGGCCTCAATCGTACACGACCATCGCTGTCTGAGGCTGTCTGGGGTATTAATTTTGCGGTTAGCCTTAAAATAACTTGCTACTGGCGCTAAGAAAGTGAATGAAGCGTATTTTACCACACCCTGCCTCGGGGAAGAAATCGACGCTTCCAGCTGCCCTCTTTGATCCTCTGACTCTCCTGCAGCACTGCACCATTACCAGTGTCGGGAGGTGGGTGCTCCTTTGCCATCATTTGTGATAGTGGTCAATTCTTCAGAGAAGCGGAAAATGTTGACGTGGCTGGTTTTCCTGCCTTCTCATGTCTGCCCATGTCTGCATGGTATAGTTGTGTTTATTCTGGACATCGTCACCGCAGCAACCTTGTCAATCAACTCAATCCATTTCCAAGTTTGATTTGCGAATTATAACACATCAGTACAGGTGACTCCTGGATGAAAGCATCAATTCAACGGCTGTATTGACCAATCTCTGCTACATACATCACTTCTGTAACCAGTTCATTATCGGTTACTCCAACTTGAGCCGAGAGCTGATCAGGGCCGCGTACTGGACCACCGGCTTCCAGTCAACAGCAGCGCTGTAGATGGCAAAAGCAGCCCCCAAGCCCACGAACGCAGCCAGAACCTTGCCCATACCCGAACTTTGTTGCTGATCGCCGGCGGGTCCCTTGATCCGAAAGTCGGACCAGCGGGGGAAGATGGTCCTGAGCCAGTACTTGTACATGGGGTCCGGGTAGATGAAGGTGTTCTTCTTCGTGACGGGGTCCATCCACCAGCTCTGGCAACCGCTGTTGAACACGAGTCCTTGGACCTTGCCATGAACCCACTGAAGATCGCGCCTCTGCGCCTCGAGCATGGGCATAATGGAGTCGACCGGCGAGCGTTTCCGGAGGACAGGTCGCAGGAGACGGCACGAAAAGTTGATCTGGCACTCGGAGTGGAAGATAACCGAGTGCTGTCCGGTGGCCGCGTTTGGCCCATACAGGATGAAGAAGTTGGGGAAGCCGGTCACAAGGGTGCCCTTGTATGCCTCCGCGCCCCCGGCACCGTCCCACACGTCGTGGATCTCGCGACCCCCAATGCCCCGGATCTCCAGCGGGTACAGCCATTTCTGAGTCAGGAAGCCGGTCGCGAAGACAACAACGTCCGCGGGGTAACGTTTACCGCTGGCAGTCTCGACGTGGCGAGGGTGAAGCTTGACCACCGAGTCCTTGGCCAGGTGCATCTTGGGAGAGTGCAGGGCGGCAAGGTACGTCGCCGTGTTGACCCGTCGCTTGCAGCCGGGCTCGTAGTTGGGCTTGAGGATGTCGCGGTACTCCGCGGGCGCAGCCTTCTCGATGTACTCGTACGTGGCGTCGCGGATCTTCTGCCTCATGCGGGCGCCGGCGGGCGTCATGAGAAAGGAGAAAAAGACCTTCTCCAGCTCCCAGGCCAGGTAGACACGATACACGCGCGCAGCGAGCGGGACGTACTTCATGACGGCCTTGAACGTTTCCGAGTACTTTGGGTTTCCCTGGGATTCTCGTCAGCACGCACGTTCGAGATTGCCGGCATTGGCCGGCAAGTGACGCTGCTCACCCGCTCCGTCCACCAGTGCGCGCTCTTCACCAGCTGGGTGACGCTGCCGCTGGGTCCGACGTCCTTGACCAGCTCGGGGACGAACTGGGTTGCAGAAGCCCCGTTTCCAAGGACAATCACATTCTTGTTCTTGAAGTTGACGTCGTGGTTCCATCTGGCGCTGTGGAAGACTTCGCCCTCAAACGATTCGCTCCCTGCAATCTCGGGCACGTAGGGTCTGTCCAGCGTTCCGATAGCGCTGACCACGACCGGAGCTTCGCGGGTGAAGGTCTCACCCGTGATGGTGCTCTTGAAGTCGCAGATCCAGATGGCCCGGTCCTCGTCCCAGGTGAGGCTCGTACACATGACGTTGAAGCGACAGTGAGGCAGGATATTGAACTTCTCGGCCACGGAGAAGAAGTAGGCGTGGAGCTCGTCGCGTCCCGGGTACGTCGTCGTCCAGTCCGGCTTCAAAGCGAAGCTGTAGGAGTAGAAGTGGCTTGGGATGTCGCAGGCGCAGGCAGGGTACCTGTTGTGCCACCAGGTTCCGCCAATGTTGTCCGACTTCTCGTACAGCGTGAAGTTGTCGTGGCCGAGGAGGCGCTTCAGCTGGATGGCCATGCCCAGCCCTGACACACCCCCGCCGATGATGATGACTTCCTTGCCGGTGGACATTTTTATGAATCTTGTTCGCAAGTTAAACGAC